CCAATCTTCATTCCACCAGTTGCTCCACAGTCACCCTCATCTATCATCTGGGGCTGGTACAATAGGCCAGAAGTGGTCGCAGTACAAGGGACTTAGTCCCACCCCACTAGCAATAAAAAATAGATGTGATCATCCGGGGTGTGGTAGGTTGTTTCCAACATGTCGGAGCAACGTACTGACTCCGTGAATTTGTAGATGCAATGCTCTCCTGACGGTGGAAGTGAATGTTACGCCTTCTGGATTGCCACCTCTTATAGTCTTGTAGACAAGTAACATTTCGGAAGAACCTGTTGCCTCCATCTTCAGGAACATTGGTATCTTTCTATCACACTACACGGTGCTACATGCAAGAGTGCAGTAACGTTCATAACAGAGGTGTACTTCAGGCTTCAAAAGGTTAATCCTTTAAATAGTGACAGGGTCAGAGTTACTGCACGACTGGCGGTTTACCGCCAGTCAGTTCGTCTTGGCGACAAGCCTCACGAGACTCACGACCAGAGTAATTTTATTTCCCGACTGAAGACTTGCGGTTATAGTCCTTATGTAACATTCCCTCTGACGAGAGGATGGGTCTGTCGTTTACAATTGCTTCTGGTCCTCGTCAGTGCAATCATTCTCAGGTCGGAGTCCCATGGGACGCATGACCCAATTTTACTGTCTCAGATTCGAGACTCCCTCAACCTTGAGGGCCAGGTCCCTGTATTTATATAATCCAGGGACAGGGTAGCCCGGTTATACCCCCAGGCACTGGGTTCCCTTTTCATCGCCTACGACTTACAGGAAACATTACGTCTCCGCTACAAAGACCAGCCGGTTGATTCTGTTTAGGGAAACAGTCTCTGTGTATTGCGAAAACCATATGAACACAGAAATACGCTTTCTGGGAAGAATGCAGAGTTTTAATATGTGAAAGCAGGTGGTGCATATATAAACCACTGGGTTTCAAGAGGTAATAGGATACCGTGTGTCCACAGGTTCCGAAACTAGTGCCTGGTCTATGCATGCACTTGAATGTTTCTGTTTCAGCCGAGTGGGTCACCCCTGTTATGTTCAGTGTATATAGTACAACACACCAAGCACCCTCCATTCCATCACAATTTGACAAGTTTTATAGCAGAGTCGCCCTCTACGGCCAAGCACGATAGCATCTCTGGGAAGAAAAAAAAAAGATCCGTCTTAGAGCGACCTCTCCCGCAGTGCTGGGGGGCGTGGACCCACCGACACGGCGTATCGATCCAGACTAAAATCTCGCCCTTACCACACAAGTTTAAAGGGGAGCTGCCGGCAGGGCCTTATGTAACCCCCTCCCCTGGCCCCCGTAACGATAAACTGTCGGCCCTTTTGTCGCGTGATTTAAGGTCAAAGGGCAAAGGTCATTGTGTTTGTTTTTTTCTGACCTACATTATTGTATGTCATCCTTCTGCAGCACGGTGGTAACTATATATACCACTTGTTTTAATATTCTGAGACGCGACATTTTGTTCGCAAAATTTATTTATGTGTTCTGTATGATTGTTAGAATAAACAGCGATTGTTGGCGTGAGATGGCCGCCAGCCTGCAAGGATGTGAGCGTCCACTGTTGGAAGACTGACAGAGAACACTAGTCTTTGTGTGATAGTGCTCTGTGTAGTGACGACTCGTTACCAGTCCAAACCGCAACTCGATAGCGCGACAATATTTATGGTGTTCCGTCAGGTTCCATATCTTCTTCAGTTGTCAGCGCATCGCTTGGCCTGTCAGTGGGGTACAGCGTAGGGATCGGCTCTTGGTGCTGCCTGTGGACCAGATCCCCCGGAATTCCCTCTGATCAGGCGTCTGGAATAGGGAGCGTTGTGCTCACACAGAACTTCAAGGGATTCACTCAGATGATTTTCAGTGTTGAGTGTGAGGTCATTAGGTGCTCTGCTACTCCTTACTGGATCATTCCGTCAGCGAGCTAGCGGTCTTTCGTGTGTGTCATGGATGGGATTATGCTGGCCTGACTGCCTAATTTGGGGGTTGCCACTCAGGTGGGGTAGAGTTGCACGACTCTCAGAGACTTGAGACAGCAAAATATGGTCATGATTCCCGACATTTGAGGTTCTAACGGCGGTAAATTTTAAGATCATTGACGTCAAGGATATGACACCGTTTAGTCTGGTATGCCTTAAGCGACGTTTCGGAGGAACTTTCTGCCTCTTATTTACTCTTATGCCCCTAAGATTTAGGCAGTATGTTTGGCAGAAACGTTGATAACAATTCACCAGACTATACGGCGTCACATCTCAGAGGACAGTAATCTTCTTTAATCTGTTGGTTGCTTCGTCCGTTGTTCCGTTGTCAGGCTGTGAATGTTGTAGTTTAATAGGCCAAGACGATGGAAGCAGCAGGTTCCTCCGAAACGTTGGAAACTACGAAACGGCGTCACATCCCAGATGGCTATCTGATGAGCTTGTTGAAGAGTACGATCATCTGGGTTATATAACCCTATGTTGTTTGGTTGACGTCCACGGACGTTTCGGAGGAACATACACCTTCATCTTTGTAGTCTAAGAGCGAGACGAAGTAGGATTATACTGTCCTCGAGAACCGCAAATCGAATACTGTTTGCTTGGTGTGGTACGCGGACCACGTAGTGTCGCCATTGTTCATGTCATTATGGGCTCGAGGACTAATCGGAGATCAATAAGACAAAGTCTTGAACTTCGTAAATGGAGTAAACTGTTTGAAACCTGGGGACAGAAAGAGAGAGGGAAGAGAGAAAGTCCATTTACTCTGCGAACCAGCGTACGTCATGTGTCGTATAGGCAACCTCAGAGAAGAAAATTCCTGGCTAAAAATCTTTGAATTTCCCACTAGCATGTGAACACTGGAAGTATGTTCAGAAACAGAATATCGCAACTTTCGAATAATGACGTAATGATGTACGTCACTGACTGGCGATGACGTTCACTTGTTCCCATAGCGGATGAAGTATAAGAAAGAATAGTACTAGAGCAGGTGAAAAGGGGGGCATGGAAGCAAAGAGAAACAATTTTGGGTGTGGGCAGAAGCATGGTTTTTCTAGGTCGTCGTCAGGTCTGTCGCTTGCGGTAAGGGCACTACAAAAGTGAAGATGTTATTATTAGAGGTAGTGGCTTGAGACAGGGGCCGGGGAATTCTCATTTAATGATGCAGCGGTGAATTTCAAAATCTAGAAAGATAACCTGGTGGCCTTTACAGCAAAGATGTTTGATTTTGATGGATTGAAAGATGGAGGGCAGTATGAGAAGCAAGGAGTAGTATCTTGCTTGAGATAGTAGGGCAGCATGAGAAGCAATGAGTAGTATCTTGCTTGAGATAGTAGGGCAGCATGAGAAGCAAGGGGTAGTATCTTACGTGAGATAGGAGGGCAGCGTGAGAAGCAAGGAGCAGTATCTTGCTTGAGATAGGAGGGCAGCATGACAAAAAATCGTATGTCTGACACATAAGGTTATACGTTTCCACCTCACAGAAAACACTTTCTCATTTACACAAACCAACCGGTATGTTTATTCTGAGAATCATGCGAAACACAGAGCAGTATTAACGATTTGGTACACTAACTCATTACTGCGCGTATTCCAGACCTTCCAGACAAACACCAGCGTTTTGTGCCTTCATACTTTGCGACCCGGTTTGTCTGTATTGTTCGGAATTCTGTTCACCTTGTTCCTAGAATCGGGAGTTGCTGACTAAGTGGTGTTACATGGGTGTTTATTGTCAGACTTGTTTTCTAAGAACAGAAATATGTACACGTACACCGGGGAATACCCCAAACCTTACACTTGACAGTTAACTTAGTGAGGCCGTCCCAGCCGCGGGTGGTATGCAGCGTCCACTCAACATTCCAGAAGAGTACTGTTTCATGGGATGTGATGCCGTGTAATCCGGTAGAAGAATTTCAGAAGAACGTACTGCCTGCATCTGCAGGGCAGAAAGTATGCCGAGCAAGCAGTAAGCAAGGCGAATTGGTGCCTGCTTCATGCTTCCTTAGCTTATCATCCACCCTGAAGATGGAGGCATTACATTTTCCCGTGAACTTCTGCCGAGCTACACGGCCACACTCCACAAGATACTACTACTACTACTGATGATGATGATAAAAAAGGTAAAGCTATCCCTGTAACAGGCCCTGGAGGCCCGTAGGGATGTGAGACGCCGAGGCTACCACATTTTCTAGACAGTCGGCTCACAGATGGCGGTGAGATTCACATCCTTACGTACCGGCCGCCCTTTACCCCCAGGAAGATTCCTAGTACTCATTTCTGTTAGAGGCTGTCATCCCAGGACCATAGTGATATGGAATGATTGGATAAATTAAAAAATCCAGTGACCTCACCGGGAATCGAACCCACGACCTTCCGGCTTGTAGTATAGTGTCTCAACCAACTACGCCACTGCGTGTCCCGGAAGAAGATGATGATGGTGATAATAATAATAATAGTAATAATAATAAAATTAAAAATAATTCGTACCGAGCGGTTCGTGTAGAGGTAGGATTTTATGCTTGTATTCGAGAAGTGCTCATTTCGAAACTGCTCTGTTCTTTTCGTGGTATTCCTTCATTCGAATGCTGGGGCAGTACATCGACTCCAAATCCTTCCCCTCGTTGTGCTGTATGCTGTGAGGTGCTGCCAGAACCGTGATGTGACACGTGCGATAAAGAATCCACGCACCAGAATTTCAAATGATATCCCTGAGTTTTGAGCCAGTGGCCGCTGGGCAGATGGGCTATGCCCTGAGAACAAAGATCTCCATTCGCCAGTTTCGGCAGCAGAACTTTCCAGAAACACTCCCCCCCCCCTAGGATTTCAGTGAGAGTGTGGGTGATTGGTTTGTTTGTGTGGTGTATAAAATAAACGGAGTTATCTTGCCTTGGTCATGACAGCTCATCCACACAGGCTGAACAAGGGAAGCTGTTTATTGCTGGCTGGGGTTGGCAGAGACATTCGCCCTTCCTCTGTGTATGTTTACTTGATGTTGTTCTTTATTTTTACAGAGACCCTTCTGCAGATGGACCGCCAGCAGCTGCAGAAGTTCATCCAGTACCTCATATCCGAACACCACACCGAAGTGTTGCCAACCGCTCAGAAACTGGCCGATGAAATACTTCAGCAGCGCTCTGAGATAAATCAAATACCAGGTATATACAGTGGCCTTTTCTTCTAATTCATTCGTCAGCCAGACACAGTTTGGTACCCATGTTTGCACAGTTTTGGGTCTGTGCAGTAGTGAAAGTGGTCAAATCGCAAAGGCATGGCTAATATTTAGTGTAAGAAGGTCATGGTTTCGATTCCCCAAAGTTTTTTTATTGCTAGTGTGGTGGGACTAAGTCCCGTGTACTGCGGCCACTTCTGGCCTATTGTACCAGCCCCAGATGATAGGTGAGGGTGATTGTGGAGTAATTGGTGGAATGAATATTGGCAAGGGAAACCGAAGTACTGGGAGAAAGCCTGCCCCAGCGCCACTTTGTCCACCACAAATCTCACTTGACCAGACCCGGGATCGAACCCGGGCCTCTGTGGTGGAAAGCCAGCGACTAACCACTTGAGCTATGACGTGGCCCTCCCCCAGAGTTACTTTTAAATGTCTTATATGATATGAAAAGACTGCTCGTTCTAGTCAGTTTTATTTTGAAGATTGAAGGGTCCAAAGCATGTGTGGCCCACAAAATTAAAATATGTGAACTTATATATATGCAGTAGGCCTGTATAACTCCCCAGTATCAGTGTTTTTAAATCTGTTTAGCTATTCCCCAGTTACATCTGGACAATAGACAGAATATAGTGGCATTCCTAATAGATGCATTAATACAACCTTCTATTTCGACTGTTCCAAAAACCGGCCTTGGCACAACCCCAATCCTTGCATGGTGTGAGCATTCTCAGGCATGTGTGAGCTGATTGTCTAGAAAATGTGGGAGCCTTGACATCTTGCAACCCTATGGGGCTCCAAGGCCTGTTACAAGGATAGCTTTACCTTTACTTGTCCGAATTAATGTCTGAACTCTTAGTGCCCCTGTTTTGTTTATATGTTTCTTTTTCTTTTTTTGTAATAACTCAAAACTGCCATGCTGAATCAACACTTTCTCTCCTAAGAACATGTGAAAGATGAAACATTTCTCATAATTATCAGTTTCCAGCAATATTCTATCAGTTATATGTCTCCAAGATCTTCAGATAATGTAATTGAGTGTTTTCTCAGTTACTAGATCAGGAAAAGGTTAATATTTTTATATATTTTTTTTTGCCATTCCACTATAATTGTCATTTTCACATGGCACAAAGCCGAGTATGACATTTCTGTGTCCTGGCAGAAACCCTAGAAGAAAATAACAGATGTAAATCCACTAGAACAAACTTTTCTTAAACCTCCATAAGAATGAATAGCCTTATAATGAGTAAGTAAGAGGCTAACTGGGCCTGTAATTTGGGATGGAGTATGTTGAGTGATCTTCATAGCTAACAACCTATAATGGTGTTATATTATCCATTTTTATAATTTTCGTATTGTAGAGGAATGCTGCATTTTAGGAACTGTATGGCCAGGGCTGGAAGCTGGAAGCTATGATGATGATGATGATAAGGCTGTATAACTTTTTTAAGCAGTATTATAGATGGAGTGATTAAAAAACTATACAGATATTTGCCTGAATAAATACATTGACTCGTTTTTGTGACACAGGATATTTAAAGAAATGCAACAAAATATTTTGTTTAAGAAGTAACATATATTGATAAGATGAATGCTGTTAAATTGCTAAGAAGTGTTGATTTACGCGTGAAATGTTTGTGAAAGACTGAGATGCATCATTGTGTGTGCAGAACTGCACAGAGACACAAAGACTGCCATGCACTTGACAGCAGTCACACAGTCATGCCAAAACTGAAAGCAAGGAACACTGCTGCTTCTCTGTTTATTTCCCTTTATGTTTTGTTTCCATCATGCCAAACAGACTAGATGCAGTCAGCCATTGTTACTTGTAACAAGAGAATGTTTTGTTTGGCTCTTCAGTAATTCATTTCTTCTCAGTGTTTGGAGACTCATCAAACTTTGATTCCTTAAGCTGTAGCTTATTTAGCTTATGCATAAATCCAGCATTCGGTGCATCATAATGCTGTGTAATGGTTTGCCAGGTGCACCTGATCCGACGGCAGGAGCGAGTGCGGACGACGATCACAGTTGGCACTTGGATGAAGAACAAGTGTGTGAGCAGGTCAAGTCCTACCTGTCCCAAGGCAGTTACTATAATGCCAACAAGCAGCTCAATTCCTTATTCGCAAAGGTGAGAGTTTGTCTCATACTTGTATTCACCTCTCTTGTCATCAGACAGCACTTGCTGCACTCTTGCTAAGTGTAAGGGGTTTGGGACAGGGGATACAACATATCTACCTGTTCAATATAGTCAGCCATTAGAATAGGTCTTTGTAGCGTTGTGTCTTTCAAATTTTTTCCCATCTCCTTGAATATACATGCTCTACGTATAGAGAAAGAGGTACTGTGTTACANACGACGATCACAGTTGGCACTTGGATGAAGAACAAGTGTGTGAGCAGGTCAAGTCCTACCTGTCCCAAGGCAGTTACTATAATGCCAACAAGCAGCTCAATTCCTTATTCGCAAAGGTGAGAGTTTGTCTCATACTTGTATTCACCTCTCTTGTCATCAGACAGCACTTGCTGCACTCTTGCTAAGTGTAAGGGGTTTGGGACAGGGGATACAACATCTCTACCTGTTCAATATAGTCAGCCATTAGAATAGGTCTTTGTAGCATTGTGTCTTTCAAATTTTTTTGCCCATCTCCTTGAATATACATGCTCTACGTATAGAGAAAGAGGTAATGTGTTAACAACCACAGAAAGAAAAAAAGAGAGTTTTATTGTCTGCATAATTTCTTAATGTGCATAATCTGTTGGACTGAGTCTGATGTTCAGTAAAGTACATTCCGGTCCAATTTTGGACAAATGCAGTAGTTGTGAAATTAAAACTAAGTGTATATGCATGTTCAGAAACTTACTATGAAATGTTTTCCTCTGCCAAATGCCCACAATCGGAAATTTCCAGTTTTTAACAATGGTCTTTTAGTTCATACTGTAGTCAGGATGTGGTTTTCACAGCACTGTATTGAGCGGGAATTATTAGTTACTCAAATATCAGTACATCAGGAAGTTGTGCTAAAAAATGTGGTTGAAGCACACCCCCAGAGCTGGAAAAACTGACAGGATTTAGGTATGAATGAATGGGGTTTTAGAAATTTTGTTCTCATGTAAGGTTCTTACATATTGTTCCCATACAATAAGAGAATGTGTTTTACAGTAACACAAAACAGAAGCTAGTAAGTGGCCTTGTATGATTAATACTTCAGCATACCCTGATGACCAGGAGGCATCTGACCCTTTTATTAAGTAGTGTGTAACACCAGATGAAACCAAAATATTTCATTTTGGGGAGAATGAATGTAGTATGGGAAATTTATGATGGTTTTGAGAACTTGTGTTTTGGTCTTTAAAATTGTTTCATATATATTTTACATATACAGAATCACATGGTTCCAGATTTGGTGTTGTCTACTGAGTTTCACATAGCTCAGATTGTTCTCTTCTGGGTTGTGACACCATGCAGTCTTGTAGGTGCATTGCTCTCTTTGGAGGAATGCATTCAGGATCAGTGCTGAAGTTTGAGACACTGTGTGGCTGGTGTCCGCCTACAGGATTACAGTGACGTCACAACCCAGAGCACCAAACCACCATGACGGTGGATCTAGCTGTTACAGAGATTGTTGGCTTTGTGCATGAGATGACAGGCAATTGGTTTGTGGCAGGTCAGNCGAGTCAGTCCTCGAGCTACCTCCGATTTAGTTCCGAGTTAGCCAGCAACCAGTCAGTTGTATTGTGGCATTTGGAGTATAGTAATTGTGAATCTGTAATTTGGGTGATTGTAAGAGCGAATGTGAAATAAAATTCGCTATACCAAATACGGCGTGAAGTTATTTGTCGCGTTATACGCCCAATACGCGACAATATCTTTTCTGTTTTTGATCTTTGGAATTTCTGCTACTATGAAAAACAGATGGCAGGAATTTTGTATTTATCCATACTAAAGTCGTTTCTTTTAATTTATTCAAATTAAGTTTAGGTGGTAGAAGCGAGGGTTGCAATAAAAAAAAAGATGGAAAGGGTTAACCTCTCAGTGGGAATAGTCATAAATGGTGATTATTAGGTACTTCAGTTCTGTGAATGCCAGAGAGAGATTGAGTTTATATTTGTATACCATCTGTAAGGTCAGCAGTTCACAAGGGATAACACTGGAAACATTATGCTGATTTCAAACTAGTCTGAGTCATTCTAACATATCTACCCCCTTTTATGATCTCTTTTTTTCACTCTTATGGATGATAAATTGTGATATAAACAATGATGAAAGAACATATGATGCAAGCACTTTCCTTTCTTGCTTTCTTTATCCCAAATGCCTAATCCATTACTCTGAAAATCATGGCCATAATGCTTTAAAAATCAGACAATATCTATGGGAAGTTACAAAAATATACACAGACTTGCTGAATTCTTAAGATGTGATCTGGGTCATGATGCTGTGTAGTTTTGCGGGCAGATACTGACATTCTGGGGAATCCTACTGCTTCCATCTCCAGGCTTGAAGGCTGTAGATTCATAAGTAAGCTTGATTATTTAGGCAAGTTACAAAGAAGATGGCCATTAGACCCCAGGAGAGGAGGAGAGAAGGAACCTGGTATGAGCCAATAAGAAAAATATTGACAAAAGTATGACCCTTATGTGGGGCACACTGACTTTTTTTATGGGTATTGACTTGTGAATGAGTTTTTTCAAAGTGGTTCATTTTGAGGCAAATATGTGACGCGTGTGAAGCAGATAGGTTTCATGGGTTAGAGTCCTTCTGAAGCCAACAGTTGCTGAGGTAGTCAAGAAATTTTCCACCTTTTATGGAACCTAAATGCCCATTACCGTGTTCACAAGGACTTGCCACTGGACACTACCCTGAGAATCCACTCCACACACTCACAATCTGTTTCTTTAAGATCCATTTTAATATTCTCCTTTGTGTCTAGGATTCTTAAGTGGTCTGTCCCCTTTAGAATTTCAAACGAAACTCTACTGATGATCATGAATGCCTGAAAAGTTGGATCACGTACAGGGCCTTGCATGTCAAAGAAAGAGAAGCTTATTGTTTGCTGCTCTTTTTTTTTATTTGTTTTTTGTATAGATATGTGAGATCTGCTGGGGCTTTGCATAGCTGTTTGTAGCATTACATGAACTTAAATCCCAAACGTGCCTTTCTCTAATTCTCTCTCTCTTCCCGTAGGTGCATTGTGGGTATGCATAGTTCTGAACCCACACTGCAGTGCCCAAGAGAAGCAACACTGGAAGGCCTTGTTGGAGAAGTGGACAATGATTGACGTATGCCCACAGGAAGACCCTGACTTCCGGCCACAGGCGCTGCCACGACAGGATGGGGTAAGTCCCTCTGTGCTATCAGTGTTGAATAGCTTGCTGACAAAATGGGAAGAGGTTCCTTAGTCCACTTCTCAAGAAAATATTACAGTACTCTGTTATTCTGGGGAGCTGGGATAGCTCACTCGGTATAGTGACAGGCTACAAATTGGATGACTGGGTTCAATTCCCAGTAGGGGTAGATTATTTTCTACTCCACAATGTCCAGATCGGCTCTGGGGCCTATCCACCTCCTATCCAGTGGGTGCAGGGCATGCTTTCCCCATGGTTAGAGCAGCCAGGGCATGAAGCTGACCACTAAACTCCATCTAGTGCAAGGTCAAGAATTGTGGGAGCTATACCTCCACTCTTCCATATTTCATGACATAGTGCTTAATTGATTAAGCACAGGGACAACTTTATCTCAACCTCACTCTGTTATTCTGAGGTTTTCAAGAGCTTATGATTCAAATGGCTTCTTAGTAAGTTAATGATATAGAGAATCATAATGCATATGAAAGTATCTGTACTGGATCTGCCTGATATTTAGTTTAGAAGCACTGATACATTCTTCTTCATCACTGGGTTACTACTCCTTGAATTTTATTTTGTTTGATGGGTTATTTCATGATACCATATTACAGATTATATAGCACTGAATTGTAGGATAATAGATGAATTGGAAAGGATTTTGAAGGACATGGTCATGACCTACTTGAGGTACTGTCTTGGCATTTGCCTGGAACAAGTGAGAAAACCTTTTAAGAACCTCAATCAGGATAGGTGGTGATGCATCTGAGACTCAAACTGAGCATCTCTGAAATCCAAATCTAGAACATCACTGCTAGACCAACAGTTCCATCTCAAAATGTGTTAAATACATTGTGATTGTTCCTTATCCTGGATATTTTATATTGACTTAACATTTTTAGATTATTTTTTCTTTTAAATTGTGATATGTATTGATGGCAGATCAACATGTCTGAGTAACTGACAGTGTTAATCAGTTAGAGAAGAAACCCCAAACATGAAGACTGAGGATGTGATAATGTGAAGCCTAATCAGGGGTATTTTACACCTTTAGTGGTGGGGATAATTGGGTATGGTGAAATAGTGGATTGAAGCAAACTCAAAGTGACTCCTGCTCCAGTACCACCCTTTCCACCACAATCTCACTAGTGGTCAGGTGGGGTTGAACTTGAGGGAGAACTGGGGAGAAGCCAGGCCTGACCTTTTGTTCTGTTGCTTGGCATTATCTGAACACATACAAGCGAAGAACTTAGTTTTTATTAAGCATTTTGAGCACAAAAATTCATTTAGTCTGAATCCAAAAGAAATCTGAAAAAAATAAACTTCACTTTAGACTTCCAGCCAGGAATAATGGTTCCCTTACGTAGCAGCAGTATTTGTATCCATGTATGTTTGAATTCAAATTTATTTGAATATCCAGCACTGAAAATATTCTAAGTTCTGATTCCTTTACTAGGTGTAATTAATGAAAGTTTTCAAACCCTTTGTGGCAATTGAAAAACTTAATTGAAATATTTCCACCTCCACTGCCATGTTGATTTGCATTCTGAACTGCCATCTGTCCCATGCCAAATTAATGAGATATGTATGTGTTGTTTTGCAGTTGCACATTGCATTCGACTCATCGGACAGCAGTTCAGATGAGGATGGAGGTGGAGCCTACCGGGCAATAGAAAACAGTAGTCGACTATCGAGACTGGGTCCACAGAGACCTCATCATCCCAGACCATCCACGTCAGCCATTCCCAGAACTGTGTTCCACAGGTAGAATATTTATTGAATGTTACTGGAAGCAGACAGTATGGTTTCAGTCAAGAGTGTAGCACACAGTACATTAACACTCTGTCAGCCAACATCATCTCCAAAATGCAATCTGCCAATCTGTCCACTCAGCAGTATTACGTCTCAGCCAATTTAAAGTTTGCACTTAGATTGTGCTCATATATCATGTTGTCATCAATAGACAGTAGACTTAAGCTCTTCTGTATCTTTGTTTGGCAAAGAATGAACTTTATTCATTGTTACACACCAAAAAGGTCTCAAAGCCCCATAACACAGCTACAGTAGGGACTTGCTGCCATGTAAATGTGGTTGCAGCAGCAGGCATAGTGAGGTTAACAGCAGGGGTGTAGCTCTAAAATGAAAAGTGCCGGGAAGTCTCATATGAAGTTCTGGGTTGAATGACCTGGATATGAATCATTATATGAGGTAATTGTTGTTGTCTAATGGTAGTTTTGTGCTTTCAAACTCAGAATTGAACAACAACAGCTCATGAAACGCACACACATACCCTGGCACCCAGAAAAGTAACATGGCACCACACGAGCTGGACTGTAAGGGAAAGACAGATTCCAGTATTCTTTTTAATTGAACTGTAATTAGCTTATCTAATACTGTCAAATCAGAGATGTTTCTTGGACAGGAGAGAAATGAAATGTGTATAGGATTTTGTTTGAGAACTTATAAAATGACTTGTTGATGGGCTAATTAGGCAGGGGGATAATATTAGAGTCAGACATAGTAGAATAGGTTGTGACAATGAAGTTGGGTGAACTGATAGAGGATCATGCCCAGTAATGGACTTTGGTTATTAGCTTCTAGAGTGTTTGGGATTGGCTGTTTTCTGTTTACCTCACTTGTTCAGTGACACACCTTGACTTTTACGCTGTTCTCTCTGAATAAAGACGAATTGAATGGTAGGATATCTTGAACTTCATATATTACACTTCTTGAATTATTATTAAATGTATAGATATGTATTTGAACGTTTTATGATGGGGTGCACCAATTAAGGACCATTCACCCACTCATGGAGCTGAGCCCTTCTTGAGAAGCTACCAATTGTGCAGCTACTGAAGAACTTCCCAGGATTTTATGGAACCTGAAGGTTCATTACTGTGTTCATAAGAGCCCTCCACTGATCCCTATCCTGGGCAAGATCAATCCAATCCATACCATCCCATTCTGTCTCTCTAAGATCCATTTTAATATCCATCCACCTACATTTTGGTCTTACCAGTGGTCTCCTCCCTTCCGGCTTTCCCGCTAATATCCTATACGCATTCCTCCTCTCCCCCATTTGTGCTACATGCCCTACCAATCTCATCCTCCATGATGTGATCATTTTAATTATACTTGGAGAACAATACAAGTTATGAAGCTCCTCATTAATTAAGGACCACTACCCTGTTATTTCCAGTTGTACATATTTCCATCAGCCTAACTTCTATATAGATACACTGTGCGTTAATTATCTATTACATGGTTTGGTCTTTCAACTATCATTAAATATGCACATTCACAGTTTGCTCTAGTGCTTAGCCCTACATGGGCCAGTGTTTACAGAGAGGTATATTTTTCTGTTGTTTGTTTGATATATGTGGTAGCATTACTCCCCAGTGTATGAAACTGACACTGTAAGGGGTGAGCAGTAGAGTCAATAGTGAATATTTATACCTGAGGATTGCCTCAAGGCTGAAACACCTTGTAGATAATTAAGACATAGTGTATCTATATAGACATTGTGCTGACAGATATAAATACAACACAACATGACACTACAATACAACATCTACTCTACTGTATTACTTTCTGTAATGAGCTGTGTGGTTGTAGGGCCCTGGATGCAGTTGGCATGTCATGGGATAACATGCATTTGAAGCACATTCTGTCAAGTGACACATACTGCAGCCATGTTCCTGATAGCTCGCTCACCGTTGGCAGTTTCAACTCCCAGGGACAGCCACTGTGGCATGGTGGGTACACACTGGAATAGGTCATATGCACTTGTCCATCCTTTTAGGGCACTTTTATGGCAAAGGATGCACTGATGAACATATTATATACAGTAAACCCTCGCTAATTCAGAATAATTGGGGTGGGAGGACATCTGGGTTAAGCAATAATTCAGATTAGTGGAGCAAATGATAGTCCTAAAAGATTGCCCCCCCCCACCAAAAAAAAAACTTCAATTTAATGATATGAGCAGTGGTGATGAAAACAAAATAACAAAATATCAATGTTAGAGCCTTTATTTAAAAGCTATAAAGTGAAAGTACACTTATTCATCAATAGAAAACCCAGAAGTTGTACTTGTTTTTAATTTAATAATGAAGGTCTGAAGAAATTATCCAGTTTTGTCTGAACAGACAAGTGATTCGTCCCCCTTTTAAGTGTCAGGTGTCTTTTAAACTGTGTACTCAACTGTGGACAGCATTTATCAAAATTCATATTTTGATCTGGATTAACTGTAACTAGATTAGTGAGGGTTTGCTGTAATTACAGCTGAATCCCAATTTTGTGTTCCACATTTAGGGAAGTCCCATACACACTCCAATATTTACTGAATTGAGATTTAGCAAGTAACTGGCATTTTGTGTAAGAAGTCTTTTACTTCCAGAACTCATTCCTCAATTTAGTGCCATCATGGTAATAGCTACAATTATTATTGATGTCTTCCTCACTGCCAGAAATCTGTTCTACACTAAACATTGCTCCTGGTGGGTGACATCATGTATACAGTGCTCACCAAAACTACACCACTTGTGATATCATAGTTGCTTTGATTCTTGAATGAGATTCTTTCAGTGTGTATTTCTTGTGTCATTAATTGTTTTAGAAATTAATGTATTATTAGTTATTTGTTTGTGTAGAAACAATTTATGTAACTGGTTTTGTAAAGAAATTACTCTATAATAATTGTATATATGAACAGTTTCTTGATTTAAGTATTATAAGCTCCATGTAGTGAAAACCTTGATTAAATGTAAGAAGTACCGTTCCTCCAGAGGGTCAATAAATATCTTTCACTTCGATATGTCACAATCAATTTATATTGGATTACTTATATTTATGTTTCATGAAAGGCAGATCCTGTAGCTTACTGTACTGTACTTTCCATTACAGTCTTATGCTGTTATTGTTTGGTTGTTAATACTGTGTTCAACATGACTGAGACATTGGCTTCTAGAGCCCCTGCCCACCTGTGCAGCAAGGGTCGATGCACTGAGATCACATGGGCACCAGGGGGCAGCACTGAGGCTTGCGGTGGCAGTGGTACGTACCATGAAGCAACAGCAGCTGGTAGCACAGCGCCGCTGGCATGAGAGCCAGCAACAGCAGCAACATCGAAGTGGTGCCAGTAGCAGTTCTGCCAACCTTGCCACCCCCTGCACATCGAGATGCACTGGCGGACAGACAAGCGTGACAGCAACACCACTGGTTTCTCACAGTTGTACCGGTTGGGGTGAGGGATGGGTGGGTCACCCTTTGGATCCTGTTGGATGTCTCTTTGACACTCTAGCAGATGCCTCGCTTATTCCAGATGATCAGACATCACGCACTCCTTCCTATTTTGGTAAGGATGAGTTTACTGTTGCACTTGAAATGTTTGTAGTAGCAGTGGACAGTATTGCAGTAGAGACTTCGGATGCAATTTGAATCCTCATTCCCGGTCTTTTGTCAGTGATATTGTTGTTGCTTCCATGTAGTCTCAGCCACCATATGTTGTGATGCAGACAAGGAATGCATACTTCTGTTTCTTTTGTTAGAATTTCTTGTACAGGTACTCTTCATTATAAGTAAATTGAAAAAATACAATTTCATTGTAATGCATTGAACTAATGTAGATAAATTTCAGTTACTAGTGCTCACTTTAATGCAGATTTCTTGCTGACTAACTGAAAGATTTGGGAAGTGGATTATTGCGTAGGTTTGTGGACGAATGAGAGAAGAAGGGGTAATTATGTTTGATTTATGTGATTTCAACCCCCCGCCCCCTCTTTCAATTTTTAACATGGCTGTCACATGAATTGAAGAATGCCTGTATGAGCTTTGTCATTCATATTGGTTACACTGGAGGTACAGAATCAGGTTTCATGTACATTGTACAGACTGTGCTGAAAGTATGAGTCAGTATTGTTACTTTGTTTAACAGATCCAGTGGGTGTGGAGGATACAAGTGTCAGTGTCCCCCCTCGATATCATCATGTACCTGTGATTGGCTCGCGTGATCGCTCGGAGACTTACCTTACGCTGGCTGTTGAGGTGGCACTAATTGGACTGGGGCAGCAGCGAATCATGCCTGCAGGTCTTTACGCACAGGTATTATCATTTTATCTTGCCATAAGTGGGGAGCTGATGGGGCTCAGCTGGCATAATGCCCAGGTTACTGGCTAGATGACCGAGGAGTTCTCAGCAGTGGCAAGAAATATTTACATCTCTATGGTCCGCAGACCGACACTGGGGCCTGCGCAGTGTCTTAGCCATTGTGTACCAGGTGCTATTTCCCCAGAGGTGTAGGGGCTGGAATGTGAAGGTGACCATTCATCTTCATCTGGTGCCAAGGTTAATGCAAATGAGCTATTCATATTCCCCATGCATCTTAATGGTGTGGTACTTAATTAAGCTCAGAGACAAGTTTCCCCTTTATTTGTCTTCCTGTAAGCACTTGTATCTGTGTCAACTCCATCTTTCTTTCTATCATATGCCACCTCTTACTAGGTCTCCCTAGTAGTCATTCATTCAGCATCTTAAATTATCATGCTGCTGAAGGAGTCTGTGTGCCACTCATTAACATAGTTCATAATGTGTAATATTTTCTTATATTTTGGTTGTGGCATAGCTCAGGCCAAAGTTCAATTCCAGGATAATCCATGTGGGATTTGTGGTGGACAGTGTAGTACTGCAACTACAGCACAATAAGTCATCTGTTATTCTCTCATCACTGGTCATTGCTAGGTAATGGCTGCAACTCGAGACTGGCTACTCACCACCGACACTGACCTCCGACTAACTGTTCACTGGTTGGCTTGGCCAGTTGGCCTTTGTTATATCTCCTCAGCACAGGCTGCATGAAAGATGTTGCTTCAGATTGCTCTTCCACTGTTGCACATTCATTTGTTGCCATGGATATATATTTACTGCACTGTTATATAGCAACAGCCACCTCTTTTGTTCCATTATTCCGGCTTTCAGCTGTCATGTTCTTATTTGCATGATAAATATAACGTGGATTAGAATTATGGAAGGGAAGTCAATTTAGAGAAATAGAAAATGTTAATTTAATGTTCCAGGAACAGAGGATGCTAGGGAATTGGCAGGCAGTTTATATCTTAGAGAGGGTAACAGTTTATCCTCTGGAAGTAGGTGGTTTCACATACAGAGAGTTAGAATATGGATTTTTAGCCTTGTGGAAGGCTATTTATTGTTCTGGAATTGGAAATTCCAAATAGCATGATACTGTGATTCTGGTGGCCTTATTTTAACTCAGGGTTAAACATATTAGTATTGAAAAGGAGGGATGCTCAGCCATCTTGACTGCACATTTGTACCGTTAAGTAATGTAACAGGTGGTCAGCAAAGGATACTTTAATATATTTTGATTTGCTGGATCAGTGTTGCTTACTGAGAAGCTTGTCTCTGCATCTGCAGGAAAAGTCGTGCAAGCAGGAGGATCGCCTCATAGCAAAGCTACAGGAGATTGAGCTGGACAACAGTCTGGTTGCTGTACTGAGGCGCCAAGCCATCGTACTGCTGGAGGGGGGACCGTCCAGTGGCTTGGGCCTGGGAATTCATCCAGAGAGCATTCCAATGCACACTTTTGCCAGGTTTCTGTTCCTTTCGCTGCTCAACTACTACCCTGACCTGGCATATGAGGTCGGGCTACGAGCTATGCGGTAAGACTCGCATACACGTATGTTGCTACTTCTTCTAGAAGGGAACAACGTAGCAGTTTACATATCTCACAGTACTGTGTACTATTCACCACATAGAATTGCTCCTCGTGGTAAAAACTGGTCATTTTTTTCTCCATCTGTAGTACAAAAAAATTTTGGCATGACAGACTTTGAATTGTTTGCTACTGCTTTATAGTGAGCTGGATTGTCCAGGTAGTATAGTTACTGGGTTATGGGCTGAATGACTGGAGAACTGGGATTTGAGTCTCTACAGGAGCAGAGATTTTCTGTCTTTCATGGTGTTGAGAGTAATCTTATTCAGTGGGTAGTGCCATGACAGGAGAAATATTATAATGATTTCTATTAATCATATCACTTAAATTGAAACTGGATGAGGGGAGGGAATAAAAGCCTATCTGTAACTAGCCATAATAAATGCATGGAAGATGTTCACCTCAAAGAGCAGCTGCCATAAATGTACCTTATAGGGAGAAAGTGCATGCATAAGTGGTACATGAAGCTATTCAGAAGGCTTGTGAGTGTCATAGTGTTCAAGTGCATAAAACACTGGAAACTCTATGCACCAGCTGGCAGTCAGAGCCAGTTTCATGATGAGGCAATTCTAACAGATTTCTGACACTGAATTAAAAGTAACTGATTACATGAGGAAACAGAAGGTGTAATTACATGACTGAGATACAGATATTTCACTGCATGGTTCTTCATTTGGCAAGATATATGCCAAAGAAGTAAAGAAGAAAGAATATTTTACTGCCTTCAGCATGATATCAGTCTCTGCCTAGAGCTCTGCTTTGAAGCCTATCATACAAAATCTTATTTTTTAAGATAATCAAAATTATTTTAATACACTCCCATGACTCTATTGAAGAGCAGGATTTATAACGAAATTCTACATTTTGTACTGATTATAGTGATAATTCTTATGTTAAAGTCTGCATCTATATTGATTTTACAGCAATATTTGTAAAGTATTGCATTTATGTGAGGTAAATATTTTCATGCTCCTGTTCCACATTCTTTGCTGAATACAGTGCCAATTTTAATGGGGTGAAACTATTTAAGTGTCCCCTATCCACACAATAAGGTTTATATTAGACATCTTACATTACCACAGGATTAAACAGAGATGTTTTTACCTTTACTTTACCCCTTTACTTGAATGAATGGATAATAAGAAATTTATCAGTGGGTATGAATAAGACTAAAATTACAAGATACTAGATAGCGTTAACTCCCATTCATTATATTTGGGAATACCTATAATTCATTTTGAGGATTTTTACATATGGAAGTAGCATAAACACATTGAGAGAACTGGATCCATATTTCAGTAAGGTAGAAAATATAACAGCATTTCAGTAATAGATTTTTCTGGTGATATACCTCCTGATAATAACCTGTGAAGTCAAAACTTGTACTGGATTTTAATAAATATTGTTACTCTTGAGTTTGTGTTGATGGTCATTTAAAGTAAAATTCAATTTCTCTGATCTTATAACATGAAACTGGATGCTTCCTCTCATGTTGCTTGTGTGTTAGGTTGTGTTTTGGGGTTAGTAGCCTAGATATGGAGTGGATGAGATGCTCTTAGTAGTGTTGGAGTGTACTCTTATGTATGCATTTCCTTGATTTAAGATGACATCAGAGCCTGGGTTTTGTATATCACTGAATTTTTCATTTAAGTGTGTTCCCCAGTAGACATTTTTATAGACATGGTGTATTTAAAAGCCTATCCTTACTCCAGTCTTAATGTTATGGACACAGCAAGAACATTATAATATCAGCTAACAGGATGATCAGGGACTGTGGAGTAGTTGGTGGAATGAGAAATGGAAGAGCAAATCATAGTACCCAGTCTATCACTGTGTCACTTTTCCCACCGCAAGTGCCACATGACATGGCCTGGGATCGAAGCCATGTCACTGCAATGGGAAACCAACAACTAACTGCCTGAGCTATGGCATAGTCAACATTACATTGCAGGTGCCCATAACATCATGCACTCAGCTGTGTATGGGTTAATGTAGAAGAGACATCTACACATATCCTTAGCACAGTGATATAGTTGGCATTTTTGCTTCCAGACTGCCTATCCTAGAAGAGCATGAAGATGCTGATGATCCAGTCAATGGAAATGTCTCCTCACTAGTTCTTAGTCGATATCCACGATGGTTTACATTGGGCCACATTGAGACACAACAGTGCACCCTTGCATCAACAATGCTTAGTGCTGCCAAAGGTACAGAATTATGTAAACATCACATGATAACATTGTGTCTGTGTACTCTCTGCATGACATGTATCAACCCAGTATTTACTGGCAAGGTCGTGCCTGTAGAAAGTTCTGAGAGTTGTGAATACAAATGCATTGAGCATCACAGATGACACTGGCATCTCCTGCATGTTTGTTCCCTGGTCAGTGGATATGTCTGAAAGCCATTTCCATGTGTCGCACTGGTTGCATGCACTCTGTAAGGGAAGGGTGGCTGCCATGTTTTGTGGGCACCATAACACCTGTCAGTGACTATGAAATTTCACAATGTTTAAAATGATTTATGTCTCATCATGGTGGCCTGAGCACAAAATGACAGTCATCGTGTTAAGACTCTGTGGTCGTCGGGAATGTGACATTGTATAGTTTGGTAGGTGGTTACCTCTCTTTTTAAAGAAACCTGCTGCTTCCATCTTCAGGGCTTAAAATAGAGGCTGTGTCTTTCTCCAAACATTGGCAGTTGTCCATCAGGCTACACAGTACCACATCCCAGAAGCCCACACTCATGTTATCAGTCAGACATGTCTGGTGGCCAGGCATGTCCATTCATTCCCATTTTCTTCCTTCTGTGTTACAGTTTCCCAACCTGTTACTTTCTTGATATCCGCCTTCCTTTTGGGCATTTTCTTTTTACTATCTTGTTCAAAACCTTCTTTTTCAGCATCTCTCTTTGTCCAGAGGGTTATGTGGCAAAGTAATTATCTCTCCAAGAATCACTGCTTTACTTTATATTAAAGATTACAAGTGGAAAAGCCCATGGAAATTCAATGTGGAATCATTTCTTTTCTATCTTCATCCTACACTCCCATTTTTACTTTCCCTTATTACTTCTCTGTTAAAACAGTGAATTGAGCTACACCATCATCCTTCAGGTGGCACAGGTTTGAACAGTTATTAAGATAACACACACACTGTCATAAACCATCTCCTGTTATATATGTATACATTATTTTTGATACAAAGAAGCAAATATTTCTCTTTGTCTGTGGAGTGTAATATTTCTAGTGACCAATATAATTGCCATTTCCAACATCTGATATGTAAACAAATGTCAGAAACTTGCTAAGAACAAGTACACATGTTATTGCACTTTTGCAGGGGAGGGGCTGAGGTTGCGTACAGTGTTGGAGTCTGCACAGCGACATATCCACAGTTCTTCACATCTCTTCAAACTGGCCCAGGATGCTTTTCGATTTGCTACACCAGAGAATGGCCCTCGACATGCAACTCTCCTAAATGTGGCCTTTGAGTTGGGACTGCAGGTACAATAATGTTCTGCGCCAACAGATTTATCAGTATGATGTAGGTGTGTAAGGAGGCATGAAATTTGAGCTCCAAAAGCAGACACAAGTAGTCTCTGTCTTGTTTCAGCCAAGTTCATGACTGGAAGACTTGCCCTCAGTTCCCTGCCAGTAACCCTTTAATTAATGTACACGTACATTTATGTGTATCTTATATCTGAATTACTTTCCAACAGTGTTATTCATTTCTCCTTCAGGTGTGGTTGCTAGGTGACCGTGACCATTATTATAGAACTTGAGTTGAACATTGTTTCATTGTGTGGCTATCACATAACTGATGAAATGATCACAATTCAGTTGTGTGGCTATCACATAACTCATGAAGTGATCACAGTTCAGTGAAATAGCATTAATAATAGAAAATTGGTCAACAGGATTGTAGGTATATTCATAAAACTATTGTAATTTATAAGTAGTACCATTATTTCAGTAAAGTCTATTTTAAGAGGAACCCAGGCAAAGAACAGATTCTTTTGCTATTGCACACATAAATACACATGGATTGACTTTAATTGGATTAGCACAAATATACGCTCATTGTGTTTTGTAGACCATGCCATACACACACACATTTACAAGTGTGGATTCTGACAAACAATATTTGATTTCATATGGAATAAAGTAGAAAGGGGTGGGAATGCTATGCATCACCATCATTTGTCCCATTGGCAGCCCTGATTGATACATTGCTGCATCTTTCACTTCCCAATATCATTCAGCCTTTGAGAGCTCAGTTTGGGTAGAATTGGAGGGCTTTGTCACATGATCATTTTCCCCCTCTCTGTGACATGTTGGTACTAATATTCAGGGGCCTTTGTTACATGTAATTAAATAAACTCAAAATAAAATGTCATTGCATCATCAGAAAAGAGCAGTTAGACATAAACATTTTCCTTGAACTATAAGAATTTCATATCTTTTTTGTTCCTTGAGGTGATGCGTATGACATTGTCATCACTGAACTGGCGACGACGGGAGATGGTTCGTTGGCTGGTGACCTGTGCTACTGAGGTTGGAGTGGAGGCCCTGGTGTCTATTATGCAAAACTGGTACCAGCTGTTCACACCAACGGAGGCTACAGGTATAAGCCCCAGTTTGCAGTGTTGTCATATAAGAGTGGCAAATGTTTTACCATGTCTCACAGTTGGCTGTCTTTGTGTAGGACCTGTGGCGACAACCATCATGTCGCATAGTACCATCATGAGGCTGAATCTGACGTTTGCTCAACAGGAGGAATTGTCTGGCTGTGCCAGAAATTTGGCCCTTCAGTGTGCTACCAAAGTAGGTATCACATTACAGAGCATCATGTGTGTGCGTGTGTCTCTTGAAACTGTTGTTGGACTTTCATAAAATCTGATATGAACAACAGACCATCATGCTCTTAAAGGCCGCCCCAGTTCTGTACTTCCTGACTCTGTCTTCTCTTTGTCTCCTCCCCCTCAGACTTATCCTTTTTGAATGGCTCACCTTGGAACCAAGCATCTCCAGCTACCTGTGTCTTCCCAAAATCCCCTGTTTTCTTCAGTTACGTCATTCATCAGTGTGATGCATTTCTTATTGCACTGTTCCTATCTGGGTCTTGGTTTTTTCCATTTGTGTGTTTTTCTTTCAGTTTCATGTTCAATGCTGTCTTAGAATTCTAGCTTTGCTAACTTTTAAAATGACTCATTTTTGCCTGTAGTATAATAATTTATCTTCCAAAACAATTAGCTTTAAATTTCTCAGGTTTTCCTTCTGTGCCTTTTAAAACTCATCCGCAGTTCTACTAATATCCACCTTGCATGAAAATTCTGCATTCTTAGATACTGGATATCTTCAAGGTTACATGTTTTTATTTTATTTTTCTCTTCCTGTTCCTCTTTATATTACTTCATCTTTTATCTTTCTGCTGTATGGGAAAGAAATGCATAGCTGTCATGATGCAACAAGAAATATGTAGGAGCCCAACTGGGCTACAAGTTATGTTGTGACTGCAGAAGGTTGTGTCTTTTCAGGATCCCCCAAACTGTGCCTTGAATGCTCTTACCTTATGTGAGAATGAAGCTCTAGCCTTCGAGACAGCTTATCAGATCGTGATTGACGCTGCATCACATATCATGACCTCCTCCCAGCTGTTCACCATTGCACGATACATGGAGCACAGGGGATATCCCACGAGAGCATACAAGTTGGCAATGCTGGCTATGAAGAATGTTCATCTAGCATACAATCAGGTAAGCACCCAGTATGAGCCCAAAGGGGCTCATTTTCTCCAGTGTTAGCTTCTTAGTTTTTGTAATTATTATCATCATCATCATCAGTAATCTGTCGGACGACAGGTCCACAGTCTCTTCCAAAACAATTATTATATGTATCTGAAATTCCCAGAACTCTCATGCCCAATTTTTATTCAAATACCCTGCAAGCCTCTTCGTATAACAAAGATTAGAATGTAAGCTAGATTTTAGGTTCTCTCAGTGGTGACTGTGAAAATTGCAGTTTTCTAAGATGTGATGCTGTTTAGTGTGTTAGAATATTAACCAGTGCTTTACAGGAACCTACCATCTCCATCTTCACCCTGAACTTTTAGGCAGCAAGTTCCACCAAAACACCAGAAATATTCTACCAAGATACATGACATCACATCTCAGAATACACAAGTCTTCAGTTAAAAGGTGACCCCTAAAAATATATGCACCAAAATCCCAGACAACTTGAATCTGGTATTGGCTCTTCATTGAGCATCTGATGGTCAAGGTACTTTCAGGTTTTACCGCGTTGGAAGAAGCACTGTCATGTTATGCTGGACTGAGCCACATCTTCACCCCTATTGTCTAATTCCTTTCTAATATTTTCCACCTATGTAAATGCTCCAAATGCTGATTCAGCCAAAATGCTTTATGAATTTATCAGTTTCCATGCATTCTACATGACCAACCATCTCATCCTTCTTGATTTAATCACCCAAGTAATATCATATTTGGTAATGGGTAAAAATTCCTCCAGTGTTTTGTTAATCCATTTCTTTATGGTCCAGACATCTTGAACAGCCATACTTTCAGTGGTTTGTAAGAAGGGCATAAATCACACTATGTCATATATAAGTATATAAATGTTTTTCCTTTTGAATATTGTTAAAAGACAGAGTCCTAGCCCATATACATTGAGAGTTACAAGTACGGTACCTAGGTCATAAGTCAAAGATATAGATATCTCATTAGCATAAAGGATTTCATTGAATATATGGCCTTCATAATATTTCTTTTATTGAGGTCTGCTTACTAGGCATAAAAGATTTCTTCTCACACACAGTGTAGGCTGTTCTGTCACAGTAAGAGACCAGTCTTCTTTTCAGTGTTAGATATCAGGGTGTATAAGATTTCTATATATGAGACAGTGTTAGATATCAAGGTGTATAAGATTTCCATATGTGAGAATATTGATCTTTTGGCTCTTAGAGAGCAGAGAAAGCTGTAACTGTGTGGTGACATGCATTTCCTGAATTTATTCTGAAAGGTTGAGATCACAATCCTCCAGAATATAGTGCTATGTAGTTTTTTAGACTGTAATCAAATTTCAGATCGACATGCTGCCTCTGTGATCAGAGGGCCACTCAGAAATCCTAACTGAGGAACATGGCCTACATCATTAAAGCTCTTTTATATTCAGACAGTATAGCAAAGTGATTTGATGTTACAGGACACCCACCCTGCAATCAATGACATCCACTGGGCTTGTGCCCTGAGCCACTCTCTGGGGAAGTCAGAGCTAACAAACATGATCCCACTGTTGGTGAAAAATGTTCAGTGTGCAACAGTTCTGTCTGACATCTTGAGACGCTGTTCCATGACTGCCCCGGGCATCTCATGCCCCCATCCGCCTGGGGGTAGCAGTGTGGCAGATGGGGGGAAGCATCACCATCATCACCATCATCACCGCAGCAGCAGCCGTGGGGGGTGTGGGGGAGGAGTGAAGCCCCTCTCCTATGACCGTCCACCTCTGAGGCAACTCTTGGAAGCTGCTGTAGCTGCATACGTTAACACAACTCATTCCCGTCTCACCCACATCTCCCCTCGACACTATGGCGATTTCATCGACTTCCTCGGTAAAGCACGTGACACTTTTATTCTTGCACATGATGGACATGCGCAGTTCACACAGCTGGTGGAGAACATGAAGGTAGCTTATAAGGGGAAGAAAAAACTTATGTTTCTAGTTAAGGAGAGATTTGGCTGATAATAACATCTGCAAGGAAGCAAGTTGGTTCTGCCCACACAGTTGCTTCCTATCATTGGGCTGACCAGCGATTAGACTAACAAATTACCACAGAGATTATTTATACAAGACGAGAGCTGCAAGGCTTTACTCCTGTACTAGACAAACAGCTTTAGGCTTGTAACCTCCCTTGTGCAATGCCATGCTGTCTAGATTATGTTTTGAATATGTATTTTGTGCATTATGTATAAACAGATTTTAATGTATGTGCAGACATAAATATGTAATAACCCCAAGATCTCATATCCTCGTAAAGGAATCGTAATGCTGTCAAAAGAATCAGTTTGGGACTTCAGCGATATAAAATAATTGTAATGACAGTGAACATTTTGTACATAATATTGTGTCTGTGTGTTCGTATGTGATACTGCGTTTTCAACCAAAGATCATTGTTTGTATAATAAGAATGAGACTTTTTTTATATGACAACACATTTATACCAAAACATGCTGTGCTTACAGGACCGGATGCAGTTCTGGTCAGGGATAAGCCAATGCTTCCTATTACGTATGCTAATTCTCTATAGCAACGAGTACAAAATAATAGTATGCAGTTCATAATAGTGATGTAAGCATGTGCAGTATAGAACATTGTACGTTGCATAGGTATGAATTCCATAACTACCTCTGTCGGTGAAAAAAAAAAAAAGCCTGTTAGTCTCCTAATCTCATGACTGTCATGAAACCGACATCATTTTTGTGTTCTTGTCAATATCGATTCCTGTTTATTTTGCCGTACATATATTTTTAAACACCATAAAAGAGCATCATGCAATATTTATTTATAAGAGCAAATGAAGATGACAGCTATCACTACATGCTGAATGTGAACTTTGCTTTTTGCCAAATTTCTTTCTTGTCAGTAACTGAATTCAGTAGTAGGTAAGAAACTGATGTAGAGATATGACATTGTGTGTGGCACCATGTCATTGCTAGGAACTACTTCACTGCCAGTGATTACATTTAGATCAGCCATTAGCTCCACAAACAACCATAAGATCATTTTCATCAGGATTTAGGTTACAATGTAAATTACATTTACTTTCAGGAAATCTTGGACATTCATCACAAAGCTGATACAATTATTTTCTCTTAAACTTTCAGGCTGTCCTAGAATTAACTTCATAATCCAAAGAAGTTTCCACTTTCATGGATTGTGAAGTGCAAGGGCCATGCCTACTCTGTTCTGTCTCCCCACAACTTTTCCCCTCCAAACTATTCTCTTTTTTTTTTTTCAAGTTTTTTTTATTTTGTACCCCACAAATCTTTTTCTGTTATGTAGAAGTCTTAAGTCATTTGTAATTTAATTCCCACAGTGGCAGCTACAGTTTTCTGTCCTCAAAGAAGCGTATTATTTCATTAAGAAATCTGAGTGTTGATTAAATAAGCATGCATATTAATAAGTGAAGTGTCAGTCTGTTCGCTTGTTTCTTGATGCCTTGTTTTGAATGGTATATACAGAGTTGAGTCTTCAGCTCTGCAGTGAAACATTTAACAGTGATCAAAGCTGAATGAAATTGATCTGTGGATTGTTTTGAGATGAGCCAGCATGGTTGTGGGAGATGCTGAAGTGTGACGTCCATGTTGATAATAACAACAGAGTCTTTATTTTGCCAAGGAGTTCCTAGTTTTTAACATTGGTGCACTGGTGATGTGTTACTGCTAAAGTCGGATATAATGTCCAATTCATTTGGACTGAAGTCTGTGTGTAACATGTTGATTATTCAAAATTGTGACTTTGATGTAGTGTGCAATTTTGGTGAACAATTTCCTATCTCTATGCAATGATATAATTGAAAAGCAATATAGTGTGTACAGTATGACCAACAGCTGGAGAACTCTACCTCATCAGCAGCTGTGGTGTGCAAGTGAGTGTATGGATTCTGTCCTTCCCTCTGATTATTTTCATTAAGTTGGCACTTGGGCTACTGAGACTCAGAAATCCTTTACCACTGCCAGAGCATAAAGAATTTTGGACTGTTCAAGGAGCTGAAAGCTGTTAAAACATAACAGAAAGTTGTTGAGTTATGACAGCTGTCATCCTGGATGTGATGCCATGTAGTCTGATAGATAGGTACCAACATTTGTGAGGAACAGCTACCTCCTATCTACCAAACTACATGGCATCACATCCAGAAGATTGTTATCTCAAATACTTACTCACCACTGTGAGGATCTCAGTCTCCCATGAGGTCATTTGTTTTAGGAGTCAGAGTAATAGATGTTTCACTTATTTCTAGCCATACCTGTTTTTACAATGATTTATGTTTGTGTGTATGTTGCTCTTGTAACCAGTTTTTACTTATTAGGCTCTCCAACACATCCCACTGATCTTCGGAACTGAGAACTGGAACATTTCTATTTCCCCTCCCCAAGAAAATTTGTATATATTTCCAGCTTCCATAAGAAAGAGTTCATTAAATGAACTGTTTTATTCCAGTAAGTGGTAAAAGAATAGAGTGGGTATGCATGCAGTCAGCACCATCAATGGAAAGCTGATGACAGCAAATGGTGCTTGTGTCAGAGCAAATTTTATGAAAATAAAACAGTCAGCTTGAAAAAAAAACGTTTCTAGCGATAAAAGAACTGTCACTTTGAATGAAAACAGGACAAAATGGTTTTCTGGGGCAGACTGATGAAACAAACATGACATTGCTGAAACAGACATGCAATCACCCAACTATATAAATTCTGGGGTTTCTCAGGTACCTGTGCCAACTTAATAAAATAATAATTCATAGTTTGTATGCCATGTTTATATATATATGCACCATTTTAAGTTGATAGGCAGTATAAGATATATGTATATGATACTCATATATCTTATACTGCCTATCAACTTAAAATTGTGCAGTACACTAGACTCTGATAATGAAACAAAGACATGCTATTTGTCACATAGTACTGTCTGCTAAAGCAGGAACAATTATTCACATTTTGATGATCATTTCCAGCATGCGGTGATATTTTGGAAACCGTTTAAATTTGGGATTCCAGTTCTCATGATAATGATTATTAAGATTGCATTTACTGGGATATGATGTCATGTTCCTCAGCAGATATGTACTGCTATTTCAGAGGAGCATACTGCCATCATCTTCAGGCTTGAAGATGGTGGGAAGGAGAGGTGGTAAAGTTCTTATACCTTTAAGGTAGAGACAGGAAGTTCCACCGAAATATTTGTACCTGTATGTCACACCCCATCACATCCCAGGGGATCATAATCCTTATGCTTTAGTTTGCTTTGTTTCTGGAAGATGCACCATATGATGAAGAAGTAATTTTGATATAATGAGCTCAAGTCATTGTACCTACTTTTGGCCTTATGAATGTAGCATTAGTTTGTTACATTTCTATTACTTATGATTTTTTGCACTCAAATGTGATGCATGCTGGGAAATGATCAGAAATTCCATGTCAGATAATTTTGCTTGTATTCAGCATATCATGTTTAAGTATCTTGCACAGTGCAAAGCAGACATGGTCTGATCGTGACTAGTAAGTATCCATGTTACAAGCCAGGATTTGTCCTCTTGGTGTAATAGCATTAGAAAACATTTTTTCATACCTATGATACACAAGGCACCAAAATCTATTTGCTTGTGATCGCTGTTGGGCTTAAAATGAAGAATTGCCACAGTAAATTAAAAGATTTATGAAGGTGCTGAAATCTGTTGGTAACACTTGATTTGTTTGGTATCTTGTTTGGTTACGTTATTAATTATATGTTATTATAAAATTATATACATAATTAAATTTGTGTGGTATGAAGAAACAGCTTGGCCACAAAAGGATGATGTTAGAAATAGATTTGGTGCCATGAACTGAATTTTTGTGTGTGGTTGCCATTATTGTTGGTACCAGAGATGTAATCGACAGCTTAAATTTGTTGCGGCATGTTTAAGTTTAACCCTTCACTGTGCCATTTAAATTCTTTGTACCCTGATGTTATTCAGACCTTTATACACTACATTATAGAGTAGGGGACATAAAATTTTCTCCCTTAGCATAAAGCCTATTGAATTTTGACATGAAATTGTCAAGCACAAACTTTGTTAAAAATGCCTAATCTCAATAATGTGAACAGTTTTGGAAAGACAGTTACATTTTTACTAAGAAACCAAATTTGGTACAATAACAATATACAATAATTGATGCTGCTGTCTAGAGGAAATCTTCTGGGCAGAGATGGGCATTCAAGCATATCTTCCACTGCTGCCATCTTTTGCTCCCATTTGTAACAGTTTGCTGACATAAATAGAAAAATAAATCTTAACCATTTATTTATTAGGATTCTGCTGCAAGGTCTAGAAGTAGGCCTTTTATCTTGCAATCTTAAACAATCACTGCAGTTTACAGGGCATTGTTGAGTAACCCAGGATTCGTCTGACATATTTCAGGAGGTTAGGAAAAGAGAATAATTGAAATGTCTGTAAAAGGTAGGTGAATTCAGATAAAGAGTATTCTTTCTCTGGAAATTTAAATTGTTTTTCATACTCTGTGACACTGAATGTTGTATGACTGGAAATAGCTAATGTGTGAGATTTGAGGTTCTCACAGTAGTAACAGTGAAAATCACTGCCTTCTGGGATGTGATGACCTATAGTCACATAGATTATTTTGAACCTGCTACATCCATCTTCAAGGTAGAAGAGTACTCTGGGAATGAAGGTAGCAGAGTTCTTCAAAATTATGATGATCCACCACATTACAGGATGTTGCATTCCAGAAGATGGTAATCTTCAACAGGAATATGGCTTCTTTGCAGAGATGATATTGCTCTAGTGCCACATATTTAAAGTACTGAGGATTGTTTTATGTTTAATGGTTGTTTTTAACCAAATTTGGAAACTGGTGAAGCTTGCAGAATTTTGAATTACGGAATACCAGGATTGTATTTAGTACTGTTAAGTCATTTACTTTACTCTGCCAGTCATCTTATTATTATTAAAAGTAATGGGGTCTGCCTAGTCATAGCCCAAGAGTGAATTCCTGATTTCTGTGGTTTGGTAGAGGCCGCTAATGCCTAAAAGGCCATGAGTGGGCATATTCTCAACAAACAAATCAGTCCAAGAAATATAAAGTTGAATTCTCAACACTGTAGATGAATAAATTTTGTTTAGTTCAGAGAGTACTTGACCACACATGCAATGGCAATACTTGCTTGCAATCCAAGTCATGTGTAGCCTGACTAATTTAAAGGGTTGGAAATTCAGCTGATTCTTCTGCTAGCAGAGTGGGATAAACAAGGAAGCCAAACCTCCTTTTAAATCTCTAAACATCTTTCTTTCTGTGGAGGGTTAGTCATGACTTACAGACAAATTGTAAAAATAAAGTCTGATCAGACTTATAGTGACCAAGCATATGAATGCTCTTACTGAGGTAAACAGGAGTTTTACAAGATTTAAGAGCATTATGAACCTATGCTGGTAAAAAGTCAATTTCATTGAAAGAAAAATATTCTAAACACAAGAAGGCCTTGCATGAAGTCTGTATATGGTGCCCAACAGTCATGATAGTTAGCATGTAGATAAAATATGTCATTGGAGATCATGGAATTCTCAGAAAATTTAGTGCATTCTCTGTGGCACAATCTTACTTCCTAAATATGTTCAGTAATAACTGAATAGTATCTTTGACCATTTATACTGTAAAGAAATGCTTTGAAGTTGCCTGTTACTGACATATTTTACTTGGAAACATGTTGTGTTTAGGTGTGTCACTTATGTATCTGGTATACTACCAGATGTCACACAGCAGCAGGTACTTACACCATGAGAACCTCAAATTGAGCATACTGTACTTTGAGTAATTTAAAATATCACAACTGACAGGCTGAAGAATGCTTTGGTAACAGAATACAGTTCTGGGGTACTGGACAGGCACTATTGCTTCTAATTGCCTCTGCCGCAATATCTGACCATAATTAAAGAATGTGTAAGTTGATTATTTATTGGTTTATATGTATTCTGAACCCTGTGGAAAACAATGGTCTACATTTCAGATTTACTGTTTCAAAAATATTAAACTTTTAATTCTTTTCAGAACAGTGCTGCACAATGGATAGAGTATAACGTGGTCTAAAACCTCAAGTTAAACCACTTTTTGTCTTTCAGTTGTAAACTTTACATTTAATTGATGGTGAAATGGTTAATTTGAGCAATGTTTATGTTACATGGTCAAAATAATACATAAAGTAAGCATGAATGTAGACCATGCCATAGCTCAGGTAACTAGTTGCTGGATTCCCACCTATAAGTCCCAAGTTCATTTCCAAGGTAGCCTGTTTGGGTGCTTGTGGTGGACTAAGTGGCACCGGGGTAGGTTTTTCTCCAAGCAGTTAAATTTTCCTCTGCCGTCTGTGATGCTGTTAATGCTCCATATTCATCTATCATCAAGCTGGTACAAGAGGCCCATCATCAAGGGACTTGGTCGCACCCCACTTCTATTAACTATGAAATAATTGTGATGATATTTTTTATAATGCTTCTTATGAAATAAACATAATGAATCGACAGTAAATATTGCTAATCAATGTCTGTTGCAAATTTTAAGTTGTAAAAACTCAGTCTTTTGGGTTCAAAATTTTACTAGATTGTGTTTGGTTTTCAAATGAGTTTATTTCTACTGGTTAAATTTACAGAATCATTCTCTTCTCCTCCACCCCTCCCATCCCCCCCGCCATTCCTCCATTGTCATGTCTCGTTCAGTGCCCCAGTAACTTTATGTGCCAGATTTGTTTGTTTGAATAAT